TATCTACATTAAAAACCATGTTTGTTGACGTAGGGTGAACTAATTAAAAAATGAATTAATTAATTTTTATTATTTTAAAAATAATTATTAATTTTTTATTCAATATTGATCATATTTAATTTAATATTAATTTATTTTAAAAAAATTATATTTTCTAATCTATTTTTCTATATTTTTATTTATTTGTTCTATTTTTTATTTTTTAAAATAAAAAAATTAATAAATTGAAAAAGAATGAAAATGATTAAGTTGTAAAATATAAAAAGTAAATAATTAATTTTTAAAATAAAAAAAACTAAGTAATTTTGTTTTTTAAACTAAAGATATTAATTTATAATTTACTGGACACATATATCTTGAAAGCAGAAGAAAAGGTACTGATTTTTCTTCTTCCTTTTTTTTTTTTTTCTCGTTTACAACTATTATTGCATGTTCTTCGTCAATCACTAGTACTACTGTACTGTGGTGTACATGTATTCATTAAACAGCAAATTGCAGCGTGAATTTTGCAATTTCAAAGCTGTTATAGAGACAGAGAGAGAGAGAGAGAGAGAGACAGACAAAGAGAGGTGGTCAAAGAGTCATTGATATGTCGTTTCAGTCTACAGTTTACCCATCAGAAGAGAGTGTCAGCACTGTACGGCACCAGTAGGTGTTGCCAATTTGCCCAACCAACATATCTTTGGCTCCTCCTTGCTGCAGTTTTTAGCCTGATCTTTGCCCATACTCTCTCTCACACACAGACACGCACACACACACAAAATAAAGCTGCCAACATGACCACCCATTACTCATTCTTTTTTTTTTTTTTAATTATTATTAAAAAAAGGAGACAAAAATAGAATGGATGATCTTGTAAGCAAATCAGCTCTAGTAATTTTTGCAATTTCTACTATTAAAGAATAATATATTCTGAAATCTTATTTAATAAGTTAAATTCTTAAATATTTTTTAATATAATATCAGAATTTTAATAAATAAACAGTCAAAAATTCAAATTTTATTATTCTTATTTTTTAATTAAATATAAAATAACAGTAAATTTATATAAGTTTTAAATAAAAATTGTATCTTGATACGTTGAAATGGTTTTTTTTAGCCACTATTATTATTTATCTTTCAATAACATAACGCACTATCTCGTCTCTTTTTAATAACAGTTTTTTTAAATAGAAAAAATAAAGTGTTTTTAGAATAGAAAAATAAAAAAAATTATTTTACACTGTATTTTCATAATAATTTGTGTATATCGAAAGTAAATCCATCTCCTCCATTACAAGAAAATAATGTTGAACTATGAAAAGTAAATATGATAGATTATATTTTTAACAATCCTTGCTAGTATAGAGAATTCAACTAAAAATATCTTATTATTATTTTTCTTATTTTTTTATTTTTTGACTTCCGATCTGTTAACAATTTGTAATAACATAGCATGGTTGGACAATTTCACCCTTCATTCATTCTTCCTATATTTAATTACCACTCTCAGACCAGTACTCCCTCCTCTCATAAAGTTAATCATTTGGTTTGAATTTTACAAGCAATAGTAAAACCTCAAATGGTATATGTTCCATCCATCAATAAACACATCTATCCACTAACCAAGAAAAAGGGCATCATATGCACCCCATCAAAAAAGCTGATGTATGTATTTCCAGGATTCTCAACTGCATCTGGAATATATATATACACTTAAACTGTTTTTTTATCCAGGGAGCTTTGCTTTATATTATATATGTACATTCTCTGCCACCCTTTGTGAGGTTAGTGTATAGGCCACGAGTATCTTTAGAGACGAATTATTAAAGTCAATAAATATCCCAAGCACCCCAATGATACCATCCATGCATGCATCATAATCACTAAAAGCAGGAAGAGAGGTCATCAATTAATATTGTCAGTTTGGAAGGGGAAAAATACAAGAAGACTCAGAAGAAATGATCTTTGTTATTCATTACTTCATGGTCCGTAGAAGCTTCTCTGTCTTCGTGTTAACTTAATACATTGCTATATCCAACGGAAGGTACAGTAATGGGGGCAGGACGCAGATGCAGGCATTCATCACTTCTTGGGCATACATTACTGGAGGCCGGATCATGACCAAAAGCAATTTTCTACGATTTCTTCTTCATCACATTAGTTGTTAATTTCATAATTCATAGAGAAAATAGAGACCATCTATCATCTATGGAGCACAAACACATATAAATAATTTTGAAAATATTTATTATAAGATGTATCAAGAGAAATGTTTTGGAGAATATCATAAATCATTTTTAGAATTTTATTTAATATTTTAAAATTTTAGATTGAAATAATTTTTTAAAATGGTATTAGATTTTCGTTAATCCAAACAGTAATGAATTCAAATTCAATTACCTTAATTTTTTAATTAAACATTAAATAATTAAATATAATATAGTAGTAGGCTTGTATAATTTTTAAATCCAAAAAACTTTCATTTAAGAAAATGTGTTAGAAAATATTATAAAACTATTTCTATAATTTCATCTAATAGTTTAACCTATTGATTGAGATTATTCTTCAACGAGAAAGCAATAGTTTTTTTTTTTTTTAAATTTGAAATTCATCTCGACCTTCATTACATAATGAGAGTAGCATTCTCTCGGTACATAATTATTTGTCTCGGGATATGATTTATATTATCCTCTAACACACTTCTTCAAGAGAAAGCTTTTTGGATTTAAAATTTATACAAATCCATACTACTTTGTGCTCAATTAATTAGGAGAGAAATGAAGATAGTGAGATTTGAACTTACAACCGTTTGGTCATCAAGGTTCTCGTATCATATTAAGGGACTATCTCAATCTAAAAGCTTAAACTCGTTAGATAAAACTCAAAGATATAATTTATATTATTCTCTAATAATTATAAACCTTCCTTTAAAAAAAATATTTCATATTATGTTATGCACAAATTTTGATTTGACAATAAATAAAAAAATATAAAACATTTAAAAAGCAAAAGTTAATCAAATTAAATTATGTTAAAAAAATTAACATATCAATTTCTAAAGTAACTTTGAGATAGTTTCAGTCGTTATTCCATCTGTCTCAAAAAATTGTTCTCCTTTTTATTTATATATATCCAAAAATATTTTATCTATCCTAAAAAAATTATCTTCATTTCTATTTATATTTATTTTAAAATATTTATCTGGTCAAAATTTTTAATACTATATTTTCCTAAAATAGTTCTATTTTGTAATGCAAGATTAAATTGGATAGATTTTCTCCGTAAATAAAAAATTTATTTTAAGAAAGTATTGTTAAAAAATTATGATATATCATTATAATTACTAACTTTTTATGTGAAAAGTAAAAAAAAAAAAAAAAAAAAAAAAAAAAAAAAAAAGACCATCACTTTTGGGACAAATGGAGTATTTTTTTTGGTCAAAACTTTAAATAATGTACTTTTTCTAAAATACTTTTAATTGATAAAGAAAATCAATTCTTATTTTATGTTCTTCACTAACAATAAATCAATACTTTTTATACTTTTGTCTTATTTATACAAATATCTTTAACATAAAAATGTTTTAAAAGAAACTTTTGCTAGAAGTAAAAATATTTATTTTTGTAGGAACTCTACTACATACCGAAATTTTAGGTGTTTTTCATAATTTTTTAAAACTTGATTGTGTTAATTAACTTAATAATATTAATTTTTTATTTACCATCTTAATTTTAGATAGATTTTCTCCTTAAATTAATATTGATTTCTTGTAATGCACAATTAAATTATATAAATAAAAATTTTAATAAAAAAGTATTTTATAAAAATATAAACAAAAAATACTAATATAATATAATAATTAATAATTTTTTTTAAATTGTGTAAAACAAAAAGCATCATCTCTTTGACATAAAGGGAGTACATATTATCAAGATAGTTATCATGATTATATATAGAGAGAGGATAATTTTTTCTCTTTCAAATTAATATTCTTATGCATATCTATATGAAGTTATAATTTGTAATAAAATAGGTAACTTTAATTTAAATCTATAAATTACAATGTCAAGTTATATATATATATATATATCAAAAAAGAAAAATTACTGACAATATTTAATTTTATTTTCTTTAAAAAAATTGGTCCTATTATATGCATTGATTACCAAATGTATCATTAAAATAAAAAATATCATAAATAATTAATATAAAGGTTAAAAAGTGAATTGTTTGTAGTTAAATTTCTGAATTTAATTCATAAAAAAATATATTTTTGATCTAGTTTTTCAAAAAACTTACAAAATTCAATCCCAAAATGTATCTTAATTAGCTGCATTCCTCAGTTATCCCTTACAAATTAGTCCCCATATATTCGAAATGGATTTTATTTTTTGATGTTTCTTCCAAATTCATATATATATATATATAACGCTGTATCGTGCCTTACATGTATCCAACACCAGCTAGCCCTGCAAGATTACGTTGACCATTCTAGATTAGTTGTGTTGCTTAGAAAACCACAAGTTCATTGGCCTAGGTTTCTCAGGAAACCTAAATGTGAATCCTAATTCATAAACATTTATCGAGGTAATTGAATTTTCTGAGACTCGTGATCAGAATCAGAACATATATATAGTAGCTAGGTTTATACTTTGAGAATAATATGGAAGCTTCCCATGCATGCTTCCAGGTTTATATATATTTTGATCAACTTCTATACATATATAAAAAGCTCGAAAATAAGAGGAAATAATTGAAAGAAAAAGAAGGCATCAACATGAGTTGAAAAGAAATGGATTTACAAGAACTTACCCTAACTGCCTAACATGATGTGTTTTATGATTCTACATGGGGGCAGACATGGGTAATACATTTAAGAAACAAAGGTGGCTTTCCAAGTAAATATTGATGATGCCTACTAGTTCTTCCCTTCAAAAGCCTAGGCTATATATAAGTAAGTTCATAAATTAAGATAATTAATTCACTAATCTTATCAATTAGCGGCCACATGTTTTATTTCATTGCATGGACTCGTTATCTTGCTCTACTTCAGATGAAGGTTCATCTTCTTCTTCGAATCCATCCATGCCATAAGCTGCATGGCCATTCCCAAAAGCCTTTATGTGGTCTTTAAGTGATCTCTTGTGCTTAAAGTCCGACCCACAAATGCAGTACCAAAGCTTACCACAATTCTTTTCATGAGTTCTCCAATCTCCTCTCACAGCAAAAGCCTTGCCACATTTTCTACACATGAAGGGCTTAATTCCATGCTTCCTCTTGTAATGTGTTTGAAGGGTTCTAAAATCTTTAAGAGGTTTTGCTCTTGGATGATCAATGTTGTTTTTGCATCCTGGGGCACAACAATAGCAAGGAAGCCTTAGCATTCCTGTTGGTTGAGTTCCTCTTAGAGATTCAGGCCCTTTTCTGTACTGAGATCCATGCCCCCACATATGCATCTAAAAAATTTCAGTCACACCTAAGTAAAATCAGTAAAAAGGAAACATAAAAAATACAAAAACAGCTAAAGTGCTATCTAATCACACTAGAACCAAAGAAAATTTGGAACCACTTGAACCTCATATATTAAAAGCAGGATTTAGTACTGGGACAAAATCTAAATCATCTGCTGAACCGCGTCTAAAGAAAGCATTATGTGTTCTGTTGATGAAGTTAATTAAGAATTAAAGGTGTTGATATATATTTGGTGTCTGAAAATTTTCTGTTTGTCACAGCTGGATTCAAATTCTTGATGAATTAGGTATTTGCAAAGCATATGTAGCATTACTTTCTTTACTGAAAAACAGTTCCAGTGATTGTGATTTTTCATTAAATATATTAAAGAAAAATGGGTTTTTTGGGAGGCAGAAGGGTTTCGATCTCTTTGTTCTAACCCAGAATATTGAAGGATTTCACACTAGTGTTTTTTTTTTCCTTTTTCTTTTTTCTTTCTTTTTGTGCGTGTGTGTCTGTCTCTCTGGGTCTCCATATATACAATCTTCAAAATCAGATACAAAGACAATTGAAGTGATGCAAAATTTTGTTTTTCGTAATTTGTCTTCTTTTCTTTCTTTTTAAAAGTTCAAGAAGCCAAAATTAAAAAGAAGGGGACTAAGTTGAGTCTTCTACATATCTTAGATTAGGACATAGAGTGTCTTATGTGTGCCTGTAAAACTTTTTGTAGCAAGCTCATGAAAGAAACTGTTTGTCGCAAACTGAAGGTGTGGAAATAGAAATCTATTGTATAATTAAGATCGTCAAGTAAGACTGCAAAGTTTTGAGTTCTGCACATCAGCCAATTAATGTTGAAAGCACGAACTTCAAAGTTCTAAAGAGCATAAGGAACATTTCCTGAGTTGTTCAATCACATAAAAGAAAGTACTGATCTCAGTCTCAGTAGGATCAGAAAGATTTTTTGGGAGTCCAAAACTCATAGACCATGCATAGAAAACAAAAATTAAAGTTAAAAAAAACATGAGTACAGTAGAATTTGATACCTATAGCTAGGTTGAGTTAATTTCTCCTGTTAAAATCCAAGGATAAAAAAGACCCAGTGAAAAATCCAAATCTTGGAAGAAATTCATGACCAAAGAAAGAATTATTTTTCTGGTTCTTCACTTTAAGTTAAAAAAAAAAAACCCAAAAAGGAGAGAATAAACAGGAAAGGAGTTTTTAAGAGGGGCACGGTAAGTAGGTGCCATGAAATTACCTGCATGTTGTTATATCTGTTGAAGGTTTTGCAGCAAACAGGACATGAGAACTGAGTTGGGCCTATCAAAATCTGAGAAGGAGTAGGGATCCAATACTGACCCTTATTAAGCCTGCTAATAGGGTACACAGATTCGTCTCCATCTACATCTTTGTCAGTGATCTCTGAGGAAGAAGATAGCACAGTCGCCATCTCTGCGGCACTAGGGCTTGGCAGCCCAATATGTAGTGCAACAGTAACAGACTCCTCATCTTCTTTGTTTTTAGCACCACAACTAGAAAAGAAGCTAATTTCTTGATCTTTGGCTTTGTAGTTGATCTTGTCCACATCCATAGCACTGCAACTTAGTTCTTGAATTTCTACTTCTTCTTCTTCTTCTTCCTGTTGTTGTCGGTCTTGCTCTTTTTCATGCCTTGTTGGACTTAACCTTAAAAGGGGTAGGGCTTCTTTGAGCGGAGGAGAAGGAGGTGGGTTCTGATGATAGTGAAAGTAAGGTTGGGTTTGGGTGATAGGGAAGGTATTTGTGTAAAAGTTGTGATTATAAGGCAGTTGTGGTGGAGAAGATGGGTAATGGTGAAGAGGACTGTTGTTGAACTTGACCCAACCTGTGAAGAAATTTGAGTAAGGGTCGGCCATGGGTGGAAAAATTGTGAGGAGAATAGTCTAGCCTTGGTGGGTTTGCTTTTATAGACGAGATAGAGAGAGAGGGAGAGGGAGAGAGTACAAGATGACTGAAGAGAGACTAGATGGTAGAGAGTGGAGAGAGATTATATGTATTGAATAGGGTAAAGGCAATAATTATATCACTTTAGTGAATGGTATAAAAGAATAGTGTATGGTTGCTTCTTTTTATTATAGAGGGAGGAATCCATTAAAAAAAAATCTGCGAAAAATATGAATAGAATCAAGGAGATATACCGTTATTAGCCGTTTTATGGATTAGTTTATACGAGGTCATTAGTTAATACATTTGCAGCAGTTTGTTACTGTGGTGGTTTTTAGCCATCGCAGAGATTGCAGCAGTATGAACTTTTTTCCATAATAATTAACCTTCAGATTTATTATTCTATTTCTGCTATTAATAAGGACAGTCTCATTGACTTTAGCCGTGTTTCCTTATAACTAATTTGTCCGACTAATAGAACTACTGGTGTAATTTGTACTTTTATATCATATTTCACCGTATGATCTGAAAAAGTAAGAAATAACATATAAAGTTATTGCCATCCCCTTGACTTCCTGTAATTAGATCAACAACTCATCAGTTCTTTTTTTTTTTTTTCATGAGAGGACCATGAAACTAAGCTACATAATAATAGTTACGCATCTCTATCATTACATAATTACAAAAAAATAAAAATAAATAAATAAATACTTGAACCATTAGAATTTAAATCTTTTTTACAAAAAAAAAAAAAAAACTAATTGAATACATAACTGCTAAGTTAAGCTTACTTAAATGAATTTTATTAATTATTGTTGTTAATAATATTTAATAAAAGATTAATAAAATTTATCTATTTCGTAATATATATATATATATAGTGTGACATGCATTAAAAAAACTGATTGCATAAACTTTTAGCATTATATGTTGCATATTATAGTTGCATTTTTTCCCCCTTAGATATCGGTGTTTCTCATCAGGGATATAATTTTTATATAAGCTTATCACAGTCTTTTAGTCTAATAATGATCTCTCTCTTCTTTTTGTCGGGATCGGAGATCAATATAAGAGTTTGAGCAGTAGAAAGATAGTGCATTTTTTTTTAACTAAATATATCCCAAATTTAAAATTTTAGAATAATTTTTCACTGTTTTATTCTATACATAAAAAAGATATAATTACCTAATAAATTTTTTACATGTATAATAACACGAATCTTAAATCATTTATTTTAGCGACTGTAATCACTTCTGTTCAATTTAATTCTCTTAAACCTTGACCTGCTTTATCATAAACAATTTATGATCATAATTAATATATTTTTTACATGCAACACATGATAAATTTTTGTTGACTTGTTTGGGGAAAAAAAAAAGCCGTACAACTTTTTACCAAGAAATAATACTTTCTTACTCCAGCTAATTTAAGCAAAATATGTGGTCAATTAATCTAAACAGTATACACTAGCACTTAGGCAACTGCCAACCTACAATGACTACTGCCATTAAATCAAAGCTCAAATAAGCGAAAACAGTGCCATTACCACTGTACTCGACATGTGCATTGCAGGTGCCATTTCCGTGGGCCTAAATTCGACAAGGACAATTAACAAGACAAAATGATCGACATAAATAAAGGAATTAAATGGCAATTAAATTCAACTCAAGTATGCATGTCATCATCTGAGATTAATTATAACTAAGAAAAAATGCATCCATATATAATTCTTTTATGCAAGTAAAATTATGTAATATGGCTGATAAGAAATTTGAATACTATTGCCTAGTCCTATGCATAGAACAATTGATAAAGATTGAGCAAAAGAAAAGAGGTTCTTAAGTTAATTATTTTCCCTCGAAATCATTTTTATTTTGTTGGTAAGTAATTGCTTAAATTACCCAAAAATTAATGAATGCGTTGGTAATGGTTAATTCTATTTTTAAAAAACAAAAACACAAAAGAGAACGAAAAAAAAAAACGCTTATTATGATATTCAACCTGGTAATTTCTCGACAAACTTTGCGTGCATGCGTGCATAGATTATTTTATTTATTTGACGGTGTTTTATCCTACAAATTTTGTCAGGGAATATAAACTACATGTTTGTTTTGTGTGTATTTGAAGCAGCATTAGGAGGACTAAATAGGATGCAAAATATATACGTTTGCATAAGGAAAAGAAAAATAAAATTGTCAATAACATCCAATCACAAGTTCCATGTATTATTTGACAAAATTCAAAGAAGAAATCAAGAAAAAAGTTTAACATATGTTGGGATAGTTGAATTGGAGATTGGCTCCCATCCCAAGTCCCAACCGAGGGTACATGACAAATAATGTGTTTTATAATAACATGCAAAGCCTATCAATGGAAACATACATGCTGAGGGACAAGAGGCAAGAAGCTAGTAGTTTCAATGTAGCCCAACATTTCCATTGGTGTGCGTACCCTGGTCGGCTTGGCCCTGGTGTGAGAGCCCAAGAGATTTGTCTCAATCCCTACCACTGTTCTTTGTCACTTCTCCAATCCCCTTGTAATTTTCCTTATCCAGGTCTCTCCATCCTCCTCTCTATTGAAAGAAAAACCTCTTATGAATAGCAGTAATTTATAATAGTGGTATAGGTTTTTTTTTTTTTGGGCGGTTGGGGTACCAGTAATTAATTAGGGTTGTAATTTTGTACAATGTGGCATGTGTGTACTAGCTATGATGATTGATGGGTTTCATTTGCTTGGTAATGACCAATAGCTAGCAGCCAGTTTTGTAGTTGAAAAAAAAAAAAAGGTATTCTTTTGTTCTTGTTTCTTGTCTCATAAAGATTAATCACACCTTTTTTTAAAAAAAAAAAAAAAAAAAAACAGGGAGAGAGATTATGTAGACGAATGCAATCCAGCTATCAACCTCAGAAATTTAGGTGTGAAGGTTAAAATGAAGTTAGTGGCATCCAAACCCAAGTCCATGTCAGAATGCTTTTTTGTCCTCTTAATTGACAGCTTTGATATATGGATCAATGTATGTGCGTGTGATTGCGATAAAATTGAAAATATCAAAAGCCAAATTTATAATCATGGAAGACGTTATGGCAAAGATCCTTGGCATTTTCTGACCTCACCGACGTCGCCTTTTCTGTAGGACCTTATTTTGCAAGATAAGTACATGATCTATGGAATCTCTTCTAGGGAATTATAGCAATCAAATAATATATGAAGGGTCTAAAACATAGTGTGCGTGTCTCTAATGGGTTGGTTTGCGGACCATTGAGTCTGAAATCTTAAATTCTAGTCCCGTCGATTTTATATTTGATTAGCCTTAAGTAGCACAATACTCGTGTTCAAGCGGATAAATCTATTATATATTATGTTTTAATATTTTAAATAATTCAAATATATATATATATATATATAATAAAAATTAATTAACACTAATGGTAAAAAAAAAAATTTAATATGTATTATGAAGTATTTAATAATATATATAATTGAGTTTAAATATATCTTAGAAATATTTTTTATTTTGATAAATAAAAAATATAATTAATTATTTATTTAAAAAATCAAATTAGAAGGAGATTTTTAATCAATTTATATTAGAAGAATATTTCATTTTAGTTAATGAATCTTTATAAAAATAAAAAAGTAACCATTAATTATGAAAAAAAATTATTTTGAATAAATAATAAATAATAAAAAGATAAAAGCATAAAAAAGAAAAAAAAGTCGGATTGGGTTGACACTAAGCACATTCGTATGGGCCTAGAGACAAATAAGCCCATGCAAATGGGTTGGAAACCCAATCCAGTCAAAAAATTCAAGGAACCTTTCTTTAATACTAATTAATTAATAATTTAGAGAATCAAAGTATAAAAAATCAGGTAAATTGATAAAAAGAAAAATCAATTTGTGAGAAAACTATATTGTTTTGAGCCTAAAAAATTTAAAACAACCGAAGTTTTTAGTATCACTGTAACAAGAGCTTAGCTATAATGGAACATCATTTCCTTTTAATATATAGTATAATGTTCATAAAGATATCTTAATTCTTTACCACAATAAAGGCACCATAATTTTTTTTTCCCTTTAACAATAATAATATAGCATGTGTGCATAGAACAGCGAGGATCCTTCTCCATGACTCATGTTCTTTAATGAATTATTTGGAACTCTTGATCGGACACATAGATATAGACGTGCTACCATGCCAAATACGAAGCATTGTCAAACGGAAGGGTTCTGCCTTTTGCTCTCTCCTTTGTTATTATTATTATTATTATTATTATTTTGTAATATTGAATATAAGATCTTTTTCTTTTTCTTTTTACTTTTTTTTAAAAGGAAAACTTTTTAGGAAGTTTTATCCAAATATACAGTACACTTATCTAAACATGTTTAACTAGACAGTTTTGATGGAATGCACCTATCTTGATATGATTGATTGATTTCCTATAATCTTAAAAAAAACAAAGTCTCTTGTTTGTGGCGGTGCCTTCAAACATTGAGGAAAGAGATAGGGGGCAAAAAAAAAAATCACATCACCTATTATAAGAGTATTCTAGTATTCTCACCGACATCCAATTTTTCTTTTTTTATTCTTTTTTTTATTTATGTCTATCTCTCTATAAGTATTATTAATTACTTATAAAGTTTAATAAAATTTTCATTTATATTAATACCCAAATAATTTTTTATTTTTTTCCTGAAGTGTTTTGTAAAAAAAAAAAACAAAACAAAAAAGGTTAAGAGATGGATATAATTTTAAATTTTGGATTACACTATTCTTTTAGGTGTTGTTTGGTAACAAAAAATAGAATAATAGAAATGAGAATGAAAATTTTATTTGTACTTTATATGTGTTTGGTTAAAAAAAATGAAAATAAAAATCATACATTACTTTATTCTCATGTAGGAAGGTGAAAATAAAATTAAGGACCAAAAATGAGATTTTTTTTTCTTTAAAATAATAATATATTATTTT